TAGGAATCTTAAGGACAAAGTGTATATTTCGATCGTGTTTGGATGGCCAAACTATTAATATTATACCTAACTGGTTCTTGTTCCTAGTTATGCTAACTAATACTTTTGTCCAATAACTTATAACTTTTCTTCTAAACATTTTTAAGAGATAACATCTATATAAATTAGTAAGTATTTATATAATTTCTTGAAATATTAGAAATTTTTTGAAATTGATTCTCAAAAAACATAATTTTTCAATCTAAAACCCTTTAATCCTTCCCTAAGTCCAAAAATCAAGCTTGCCAAAAACCCTAAGTACTTTGACTTCACCTTTTCTCTCACTGTATCTATATGGCATATTATATGCAGAGGGGACAGGGGAACTGGGCTGAAATCCATCATTGGCGCATGGCCGCGGGTCACATTTGGGTTGAAATATTATAATTACAAGCGAACGCCCGGGGGCAAGGCAAGGAGAGGTGAGTCGAGCTGAGTCGTTGTCGTTGCCGTTGCCGTTTCTGTTGCCGTCGAACATTGGCATCGCATCTCGCTTAGCCACGCTAACAACCAGCCCCGGCAGCGGGAAAGAGAGGGCCCGAACAGCCAGCGAAAGAGAGGGCGCGAAACTGGACGGATATGGATACTTAGTTGCCGTAGTGGTTGTGTTTACGTTGCGGCTGATAACATGGAATGTTGCTATTGTTGGTGTTGGTGTTGCTGGGGAGCCTGGGGCATTTGCAGCATGTTGCATACAACATGCTCGACAAGAGACGGCTTAGACCCTATCGAACAGCATAGTCTGCCATTGTCTTTGCTGAGCGCTAGTTCAGAGTGTTTTTGATCCCAATTTTTGAGACAGTGTTTGTGGTAATGCTAGTGCTTGTGTTTGTGTTTGTGTTTGGCAACGACAACGGCAACGAGAACGGCAACAACAACAAGTAAACGGTGGCAGGTGAATAACAGTTGGGCTATTGCCACTTTTTTGTTTGTTTGCATTGCTAACTTGTTGCACGGCACGTGTTTGGACAACTGTCGGGAATCGCACTAATGGTGCTGACTGGGTGTCTGGGTGGCTACCTGGCCTGGGTGGGAGGTGCATTATAGTCACAGCTGCCGCGAAGAACAACACTCACAAATACCATATAATTTAAGAACAACACGATTGCACTGAGACTGCTCTGTAATTATGAACCGGTGGTGGTGGCCCTGTTTTTGGAATCACTGTCGCCGAAATTGGTCCAAACTCCGGCTCTGCTCGGACAGATGGTGTTGGCCAGGTGACAACCACAAAAACAGGCCTTGCGGTCCTCAAAAGGAGGCGGCTGGGTCGGGCGCTGGGACCCTCATTATATGCAAAATGCATAGGGCCGCCAGCCACTCGAACTTAACTTATTTTTAACTTGCACATTTTTCCTCAGTCTCGGCTGTGCCTGCGCATTGCCACGGGCCATCTTAGTTGCATGTTCGAGCAATCCTTTTCCGTTCTGCAGCATGGAGCTGTTGCTGCTGCTGCTGCTTCCACCCCAAAAAGCAAAAAAGCTGAAAAAAATGTAAACTGGGAAATAAAGAACTGGTCGTCTCTCCCATTCATAACTCGCGGCTATGTCTTCTTTTGCATTATATTTCCCTCATTCTGCTTGTCTTTGGATATCAACTGTCAGTTTTCGAGCTAAAAACGCCTCCGGACTAGTTTGTAAATCATTAAAATTATGCACTCACACATACACACATCCGCTCCATATCCATTATGCCTGTATGAGTGTTTATGGTCGGGGAAGTTGGCCAAACTGCATAGGAATCATTATGCAGTTAATGACAAATGTCTCGCTAATGCTAATGACAAAAGGATGTCGGCCATTGTCTCCTGGCCCCGCCTGAATTCCAATGGACGATGAGTGCCCATTATTAAAATTAATTCATCTAATATTAACCAGTACCCATATATCTTTACAAGAAAGGGGATAGATCTTTCTTGAGATGACTATTTATACCCCAATCAATTGGCTTTTAAGTTCGAACATCTCAAATTCAAATATATCTGAGAGATAAAGTAATATTAGATGTATTTTAAAAAAAGCTTGAAAAAGAATGTTATTAAACACAATTTTATGAGAATTTATGGGCCACAAATATAGGAACCCATAGATATAATTAACTTTATAAATATTAATAAAAATATAAAATAATGCATGCCATTAATAATGTCTACTTTAAGAATCATTATACAAATATTTCATTATAAAATGCATTGGCTGTAAAATGATTACCATTCAAATGTTAATGTAAATGTTGTGCCACATATGGATGAATGGATGGATGGATTGATGAATGCTTGAATTGATGGGTGATATGGGATATGAGGCTGATTTTGTTGAAGCTTCTGATGGTGATGCTGCGGCTGCTGCTGCTGCAGTTCGGTCGTGCGTTAAAAATTTAACGCGAATTTCAGGCTGCGGCGGCAAAAATGGCATCATTAAGTAAAAGCCCCGCGGCCAGACATTGTGAATTTTATGAGCCTTTTCAAACATACATACAAACATACACATACGTATGTATATAAAATATATATATATGTTTTTGTTGTTTGCTGTTTGGCGTTCACTCAGTATCGTTAATAATAAAAAATATATACATATTTTTTAAAAAACGCAAACACACACAGCCTCTTGATGAGCCATTCGTTTGCGGCACACACACACACACACCCACACACACCAATACTTTACACACAAACAAACACAAACATATAATAGTAATAATAAAAAATCACAATAATAATGATGCTGAATGGTGTCGGCCAGCGAGGAGCAGTAAAAAATCTGCAGAAATTCTCAGCATATGCGTTGGTATTTTTAATGTTTGTACAACACCCCACACCCAGACCCACTCCCACTTATATGAAGTATGATATTGATTGACAAGCAAATGCACAAGCCTAGAATAAATATCCAAGAGGAGAGGGGCGGAGAGGCCCTGGACGAGGGACTAGGGGCGTGGCGCGTGGGCTACTTTAAAAAGCCATCAACAAATAATTACAAACGATGGCAGAGGAAGTGTATAAATGTCGACGCTGATTTCTGATTTTTGCAGCACTCTTGCTGCTGATCCAGGCTATACATATACATACATATACATATATCAGAGTGGCATATATATGAATCCTGCAGCTACTCCCCCTCGCAGCCCCCAGCCGCCCCCTTTGCCTCCCCGCATCCGTGCAGTGGCCCCGCAGCGTTCCAAACAATAAAGCATAAAGCGCGCCGCACACATTTTGTCGAATTATTTTGTTGGCAGTCCGCTGGCGGCTAACTGCAGCAAATTGGCTTGAAATATTGGTATTGCCATATGTATGAGTTCGTATATGAGTGACTGAATGCCCGCATATATGTATACGGGATGCGATTGTGTCCCCGGTGCGGCTGTGTGCGTGAGCTTGTGATTAAAAAAATATTTAAAATGGCAAAAACGCAGAGCGACGTCAAAATAAAGGAGTCCTCCAGCGCCACGGTTCTCCTCCTCCTGCCTCATGACTCTTGCCTCATTTCACTTGAAACAATAGAAGCCCCTTGAGTGGCTGAAATGAGCTATGCGGTTGCAATAGTTATTATTCAAAAAATAGTTTAATAAAGAGGCAAGAGGGTCTTAAAAAGTATTTTCGAAAGACTAGTTTTAAGCCAAGTTAAGCTTTTAGACCAAGTCGTGTCACGTCAGAGTCTCTAACCCAGATCGCGGGTGCTGCATCGGGCAAATATAGAGGAATAATATTGCGGCAAACGTACATACTTCAAAATGAATATGGCCGGGGGATAAATAACCGAGCATTCCGAAACAATTGCCAATGAAAAATGATGCGACACAGTATTTGGTGGGTGGTTAGGGGCATACTTTGTTTTTCCACTCCTGCGGGCATTTATCCAGAGGGGTGGTGGCAGAGAGGGTGGCCGAGTGGGTGGCCGAGAGGGTGGCTAGGCAAAAGTTCGCACTCATTTTAATTACAGCTGCCTAACTGCAGGCCTCACTGTACCAATGTCTGTCTCTATACCCCCGTCACCCTGCCTCACTCTGCTATATTTCTGGTGGCCTCTCGTGTTTTGAAACATGCCCCGAGGCGTATTTATCACAAGTTTTTCTTTGCATCGCCCGGGGGCAACAAAATATTTCAGCTGCCTCCATCGTCGTCGCAGTCGCAGTCGCAGACGCTCGTATTTAGCCGCGAGGCTTTCTCCGCTCTCCGTTCTTCGTTCGCTGTTTGCCCCGTTCTTCCTGCCGCCGCCGGTTCTTCTTCAAAGTCTCTGGAGCTGATGCCGCACAAAGTTTCATTTCGTTTGGCCTGGGGGTTCAGCGTTCTATGCTTTGTCATTAACACAAACACGCACACTCGCACCAATACACACGCAGGCATACGCACACCAAGGCACTCGCAAAAATACATAGGACAATCGGTGGGTGTCAGCTGTACATGCACCAATACATACCCATGGCCAAGGGCGGTAAAAACAAACAGGCTTTGATATTTACAATAATAGAAATCGGCCACAAGTACAGATACAGTGTACCACCCCCATGATTAATGCAGTCAGGCACGGTCAACATTTTTAAGGACACTTGTCTCTAAAACAAATAAAAATTTAAAAAATACTACAAAGACTTTCATAATGAAATAAAGGGAAGAGAAAGTCACGAATAATGCTCATTATAATTGCCACAAATAATTATTTGAATTTCTTTCTGTGTACTATGAAATCTAATATTTGTATCGGACCTAATTTAATACATCGATTTATAAGCCAAGCGAAAGCATTTGACCCAAACCAATTGTTCTATTTACAGTTACAATGTTAATTGCGCCAGCTTAGTTGCAACGAACAACAACAACCAGCAAACAACAAGAAACAGCAATAGCAGCAGCAACGTTGCAACGGTAGCAACAAGCGCCACAACGGGCCACTTAAACCGGAAATAGACTATTAAACGTTCACACGCAGCCCCCCTTCCAACACACTCTCACACACATACACATACACAAATACAACTACAGTTGCAGCATCATATGGTGCGAAAGCCAAGCAGCTGAACAACAAACGCAACTTCGTCGCTCTCGCTCTGCTGCTCTCTCTCAAGGTCGTCGCAGTGGGGTCTGCTGTCTCATCGCAGCACAGAAGACGCCAGAAACGAACTCCACCCGCAACACGTTAGCAAGAGCCAACAACCAACAGCAACGTCGAACCGCAACCCGTTTGAGCCAACGAGGCCGCAACCACAACAGTTTGCGATACAGTTCTCGACAAACTTTAGACGCGAATGCAAGTGAGGTAATTGCCAGCTCCGAAAAATAGGCAACAATCTGCTCTCAGCGGAAACGGAAGTAAACAGTTTGAGCGGAGTTTAAGTGTTTGACGTTTTTGCGCGCGTTCCTCAAAAACATTTCGCCATTTCAAAAAATATAAAACTGTTCCCAACGGAAGCTAAAATATCCGAAGATCACCGCGATCCTAGGATATATTCCCAAGGCAAACAAATCTGATCTTATTATCTACGCGCGCGTTGTTGAAAAAAAAGAGTTAAAGTGCATTTCCTAAATATACCAACCTTTTTGTGAGTTAACTAAAAAAAATATGAGAAATATTTTATTTTTCTGTTTTCTTTATTTGAATTTTTAACTAAATAAGTCTCAGAACAAAGTAGAAGATTTATATTTTGAAATATAAGATACTTATCTTACTAATATTTATATATTTAAAAAGATAATATTCGCTTGACCTAATTTTGTCTGTACAATATATTCTTTAATCCTTAATCCTTCATATAAGAAACTCTTCATCCTCCTATAAATTGCAAAAAAAAAAACTAATTAATTTATTTATAATCTTTCTTAATATCTTACCAAAAACAGAACTCCGTTTGTTGCATTGGATCAACGATCGCCGTTGACGGTGGATTCCTCCTGCCCCAAACGGTAAGTCTTTTATTTTCAACCTTTTACAAATCCCTGCCAACAACCTTCGAGCTGGCCAATAAATGAGTTTAAAAAAGATTCTGTAATAAACGAATTTTTGACACACAACAGCATCAAAACTCCAAGTTGCATGCCACCCGACCTCTTTTCCTATTCCCCATATTCAACTACTACTGATGCTGCTGCTGCTGTTGTTACTGTTGTTGTTGATGTTGCCCGTTTGGTTTTGGCCAAAAAGGCCTCGGGCAACTGATTTTCGTCTCTCCCACATGCCAAGTCAGAAATTGTGCGCCATAAACGAAGACTGTTTAAAAAAAAAGAAGAAAAAAAAATTATGCGCCTCAAGTGCTCTGTACCCGCACCAAAGGAGAAATAAACAAAAGTAAGAAGAGTAACCGACGGGGCGCGGGCAGAAGGAAAGCGGGATCGAGGGAGGAAAAAAATCATACAAAATTCGCCCCTGGCGCTTTTGGGCAACCTTAGCCCCCGGCTGAGTTATGTGTGCAGACGAGAACGAGTCGCATTATTTTTTCTACCTTAAAGGCTATAAAATACGATGGTGCTGCTCGGATGTGGGACGGTGGACGGTGGAAGCTGGACGGTGGAGGGGAGGGTATCCAAAGGAGGGACTAAGCAGGCAGGGCCAAGGGGCCAGCTGTGACCGGTTGTATTGTGGCTGGTCGAAAACTAAGCGGCCAAAAGATGACCCCCGGGCCAGATACACACAGCACACACATAGTACAACAAATTTTTGTTTAGCCAGCGAATCGACGTTCCGTGAGAGTCCCCTGTCCGTTTGTCCGTCCAGGCTGTTCGTATGTCCGTCTGTCCGTTTGTCCGTTGAGCCGGAGCCAAGTCAAGAGGCAAAGTTCAAAGCAAGAGCTGCATTCTGCGAAATTGTATTCAAATAGGGAATCAAGTTTTTGGGGAAAAGGAGGAGCAAGTCGCTCAGCGACCTTCGCCTCTCTTCGCGTCTGCTTCTCTTTCCGCCAATGTCTCGTGTGGAAGCAACTGGTTTTTGGTCTTCGGATTCGGTTCAGTGTTATCTCCAGATACTTTTTTGTCCTTCCTTTTGTGCCACCAGCCCCAAAGAAGAGCTCCCTTCGTCATGTGCAGACTCCGAGGAGGCGGAGTCGCAGTCAAAGTCGCGCTTGTTTGTCTGTTTGTTTGGCTGGAGCCGCAGCTCGCGTTTGCTCTTCCTGCCCATTGTCGGGTTATCCCCCAGCTAATTTGTTTTCATTTTGCGGATTCAAGCTCCAGCTACTTGGATTCGCATTTCCATTCCCATTCGCACTCCCCGTTCACGTTCACGGCCTACGTCAGCTACTGTTCAAGCTTTTGGAGCCCGCGCCATCGCTGGCAAAGTGATTTCCATTACGAGCCAATAGTCAAAGGACTCTGGCGCATTCTGCTGCATTTGAATGGAGGTTGCAGGTTGTGCCACAAAGGCTCTTAACACGCTGTGTGTTAATTAAGCCGCAATTCGGCATCATTATCAGCATCAACATTGCGTCGCGAATTTGCCACCAACAGAAGCAATTTCAGTTGGGTTTAGGAAAAGGGGTTCGACGTTTAGCTATCACGTAGCTCTTAAATTACTTGGGTTTTAACTATTTGTTTAATTAATATTACCTTAAAAAGGAAGGTTTAAGTTTTCTGTAATTTTTTCCAATTAATTACCATGTAAAAGCCCTTTAATGTTTCCCATTTATTTGGCACTATTTCTTATCTTTCAATTAAGATTATTCGAAAGTCTAAACTTCAGTCTTTAAACTATTTATCATATATTTTTAAAATTATATTTAAAACCCTGACCTAAGTCCTTTGCAAAGACAACTTGTTTATGGATCATGTTGTTATAAACCCTCTCCCTGATCCTGATCCCTTTTGCAATACTTCTTGTTTACTTTCCGCTTATACCCCGGATTACCCCTTTCCAAAGCCGGATCCCTCAGACCTGTGCACCTGGCATGCCGAGTGCATTCTGCTCCAGTGGCTTTTGTGTTGCATCTGCTATTGAGGTTGCTGCTTTGGCTGGTGATGTTGCTGCCTCTGTTGCTGCTTCTGTGTTGCAGCTATTATTGGCTGCGATATGCACACGCAAATTGCACCAATTAAGCGGGGCGCATTGTCTGCCGCTGCCAGTTACACTTGCTGCAACAGGACTCGGTGCGTCAGGACGCATGAATGGGTTTTGTGGCTGAGCCTGCTTTTCTGGCTGCCACTTCCCTGTCGGATTCCGATTCGTGTTCCATTGTTTCCAGTTTTGCCGTTCGAGTGGAAACATGACTGTTAATTATTATGTACACTTGATTAAGTAGCGTTGGCAATCAGAGTCCCTTCGGCCCCCAGTACCGTGCCTGCCCTCGTTGCACATTTCAGCTTTAGAGCGCCTTTTTGCCTCACCTCCAGCCACCAACGCTGCGTATGCGCAATGTTTTCCAACCGACTCGCCTGCTTATCCTTTGCGCTTTTGACTTTCAATTCAATTTTCGAATTTAGCAATGGAAAAACATCCTATCTAGGTAGGATGCAGGAGCTACACATCCCGACACACAACGGAATATAGATTTATCCTGAATATATTTATATTTTGCTTGTCGTCGTCGTTGTTTCAGCTTTTTTGTGTGTTTTTTCTTTGGCTCTGCCATGCGGCATGCGATGGAGGTCTGCGAGTTGTGAGTTGGCTGAGTAATGTTTGCTCTGCATACGTAGTTACCCCTTGTCCCTGCTGGCCCATGCCGCTTCCAGTCCCTTCCTCGTTCTAGGAACTCTCCCTCTCGCTCCCTTTCCCCCCCTTTTTTGCTGAGTGAGCCATATGCAGCGCAATCGTCGTTTTTATTTAATATTTTCTAATAAATTTTTCAAAGTTTATTTTTGAAAGCCTTGCAGCGTTTTAATATCTGCTGCTTCAGTATATGCCGGGACTCCAGTTACTCACTCACTCAACTTCTGCCAGACTTCCCTACCGTCCTCCCCCTCCCACTCCCCGTCCATACACACATACTCATGCATACATATATCTGTATGTATATGTATATATTATATATCGCATATATTTGTACAATTTGCCATGGCGCACACATTCTGCAACTTTGGCCAACAATTTTCGAAGGGCAGTCGGGAAGCAGTCGGGGTGTGCCTGGACTGATTTCCCATATGCCGCAGCTCCAGATCCAGCTCCGCCATTTGGACCCTTTGGCTAAAGACGACGTCGACGCAGAAGTTTGAGTGAGACTCTCTACATGTGTGTCTGTGTGTGTGGCTGTGTGTCCTGGGCAACTGCAACCCGAGATGGAGCCGAAAACGGAGCTGTAGTTTGGGGCATCCTCCTAGTTTTTGGCTTTTTGTGTTTTACTTGGATCCTGGACGAGGCTAACTGACTGACGGACTGGATCTGGTCGGCAAAAGTTTTTCATTTGCCTGCTCATCAGCGTTTTGATTTTGGTTTTGGCCAACTGCGAAACGAAAACAAGCCACTCCGCACCACACCATGCCCCACCACATGCCCAAAAACCATTCCACTTCCAGAGAAATCACCCAAGGCGTTGGATTCTTCTCAACTTGGCCGGAGGACATTTTGCAGATTTTTCCACAGCTCCTTGGATGGATGTGCTTGTGCTGGTGCTGGTGCCTGGGTGTGTGTTTACTTTATGTTTGTCTTGGCTATATACACAAACGGTCCGCATTCCCTTATCTGGCTCCCTGGAGTCGTAAGTTTGCTTTCATTTTCCTTTCCCCGAATAAAGTCCTGCCTAATTGGAATCCTCCCACTCCCCCATAACATAATCTTGACTCGTGATGCAAGTGTTGCAGTTTGATAAATCTTCTTCTGCCAAAGTACACATGTAGTATAGTCAAAGCGGGGGTCGAGGCGGAGGCAGCACTTCCAATGTTTTCATATTAACTTTTCGAGGTGAATCCAGTGCAGTCGACGCCGACGCTAGCTCCAACGCCACCGCTGACTGCGCTGCCAGCTTTGGCCGCAAGCGTTTTAAAATTGAGATAAGATTTTGCCTCAAAAACTTTCGTTTTGCTTTTTTTTATTTTTTCTATTCTTTTTTTTATTTTTTTGTTTGATATATTTTTTGTTTTTGTTCTCGTCTCTTGTTTTTTTGTGCTGCCTGGGGAGCCGTAAGGCCATGAGTCTGGGAGACCAACTTAGGTATGATATCTTTAAATGCAGGCAGCACCCACACACATGAGCCAGGGGAGTGTGTGTGTGTGTGAGCCAGGCTAAAGCCAGAACGGACACGACTAGACTTACCTACCAATCGCAAAAGTTTGCGCCTGCAGCTCTTTTCCCCCCTCCATGACCTCACTACCTCCGTCAAAACCCTTATCCTTGGGAATCGGAGTTGGAGCCGAGTTGGGCTTGGTAGGAGTATCCTTGCCGTTGTGGTTACTGGCTATGTTCCCTGCTCTTTTGTTGTTGTTTCTGTTGCTGCTGCTGTTGCTGCTCTCGTTGCCCTCAGCATTGCAAGGATAAATGAATGAGGAGGCACCCACTTGCACACACACATGGACACACTCATATGAGAAGGAGAAGCCCTAGAGGAACCAGCTACACTGAGGAAAAAGATGTTATTTTTGTTAACAGAAACCTGGGGGGGCAAGCTAGGACGAGCCTACAATTTCAATATATTCTTCAAAAAGTATAGACACTCATTTAATAATATCCCCTGATTTATTCTCTCAGTGCTGGAAGGAAACCAAGGCGAGTATGGGATAACCCCAAGTTTCAATCCAACCAGCGCGAGGCACCTTGCCCAACTACAGTGGGCACTCGCTCATGCAGAGCCCCTGGAGGATTACCTTCGCTTTGCGGGGGCAGTGCCGCAGAAGAGCTGGGGCTACCCCCCCTCCAGTATCCCAGTATCCGATGAGCAGTGGTGATGAATAAGCCCTCCAACTGCTCTGCGAGCCAGAGCAGTCCTTTGGACCCGAGTTCCGTCCGTGTATTCCACCCGTGTTCCTCCTTGGCGGGGCTGGCTTGGCTTGGCTTGGGTTCTGGTCTGGTTTGGCTTGGGTTGGGTTGGCTTGGCTCGCTTTCCTTGCTTGGTTTCGTTTCGTATCCATCCATGATTTCCGCACTAATTCCAAACGATCGCCGCGGGCCTAGTCAGCTTTTGCCCTTTTTCGCTCGCTCTCGCTCTGGCCGGGTGGCGCCGTCTCTTTCCGTCTCCTTCCAGCTGGCAACCAGGACACTCGGGCTGTCTGGTCTGGCCTTTGTGTGCGGAAGGTTGGCTGGCCGCAGGACATTTTCTAGGGTTACATAGTCAGCGTCGCAGTCGTCAACGTCTGATGCTCTGCCTAGGTGTGTGTCGCTATCTCAGTGTTAGTGCTTGGCATGTGAGTGTGTGTGTGTGGGAGTGTGTGATAGTATGCGTGTGGGTGGTGTGCACTTTAGCTCATTTCTTGGCTTTTGTTTTCGCTTTTGTCCTGTTTTTTGGTGGGCGAGGTGAGGGGAAGTTGAGGAGAGGCGGCTGGAGGGCGGAGGAACCCCCAGAACCCCAAGTCGTGGTCGTTTTGGCAATTGCCTGGGTTGGGCTGAAATGGACAGGTCTGAGTTGAGTTATCCACCCCCCATAGCATTCGAACATTGAGCATGTGCCAACGGCCAGTTTTGTTCATAATTCCTTTTTGGAAAATGGTTTGCCCCGAGGCTAGGCTGCCTCGTCCTGGGCCAGAGCCTGAGCCTGAGCCTCGACTGGCCAGGCAACCTGATATTCGGCTCTCAAACTCACAATCTCAACAATGGCAAACTAATAAGCTCACAGCCTGGTTATCTTTCTCTGTGGCATGTTCTCTGGAACAGAAGACCTTATATCCATCCCCCCCAGAAATGTGCAATGCCAAGAGTTGAGAGTTAATGGCATTGCCATTAAAACCAGACTGCAATCCTGCAACCAGAGCCTGGGCTAGATGGCACATGATGTTGGGCCAGAGAGAGGCCGGAATGCAAAGCAACATCCTGGCCAGGGAAGCCTCCTGACAAATATGACTACGGGAAAGGAAACTATCTCAAAATATATAACCTTCTAGAGATGCGATTAGAATTAATTATTCTTTAAAAAATAAGTTCTTAAAAATAGTATATGATGTTTTAAATATTATTTATACTTAAGTTTAGGTTAATCCCTTTACATTTTATTTTTGGCAACCTCACGTGCTCATCGCTGGGTCTCATCTCAAGTGTAACCAAAGGCGCTGCGAACAACTCCACCAGCTGGCCCGCCCTCGACTTGTCCCACTCCTGCCCGCTCCCGCCCGAACAGCCCCGGCAGCCTTACCTCCTTTCGGCCACCCCCCGCTCCACCAACTCCTGGGCCCATCCTTGCTACTAGACGGCATAGAAAAGATACCGCCCCAGGCGATAATGGACTAGAATAGGATGCAAACTGCAGTGCTTGTCTTATATACAATACCGTTAGCTCAGGGTGTCCACACCCACTCGCACACACACACACACATACTTGCATGTGTGTGTGGTTTTTGTTGTTGTTGTTGCACCTGCTCAAGTGGGCCGCAAAGCAATTGAAATTGAATTGTTTGTGTGGCAAGCCAGAGAACTCGGGCATTGCATATTTTGTGGCTGCAACTGCTGCAGCTGCCGGCCAAGGCGCACAGGAGGGGAGGTGAAGATTGGGACAGTCTGCATGGGAGGATGGCTAGAAAACCATTAAGCCAGATCCCCCATAAACGAATATCCAATGTTTGATTGAACGCATTACTCACGCTTTATAATTGCCGTAAATTAATAAAATTCAACTGGCACTCTTGCCTCTCTATCGCACTTGTGCTGCCCTCTCGCCTCCTCACCTCTTCCCATTTTTTTTATATTGGCTGGCATGAGCATGAGAATGCCTTGCAGACATTTATTTTGTGCAATTTTTTGTGGTACTGGTCTCGGTTTTTATTTGCTTGTAAGCCCCGTACCGTTCGACGTCCACTCTTTGCGACTCTATTCGGTCGTTGTTGTTGTTGCTGACCCTCCTCGTCCATCTGCATTTGGCCATATAGTCTCCAGCCCCCCATCAGTCCACTCCACTATAGCTGGTCTATGCTCATTCGTATTTGAATGTTCATGTAGTTAAAGTTAATCAAATCGTAATTACCCAGCCCCAGTCATATGGCCGCAGGGCTTCAAACATTTAAAAAAAGCAAACTTGTTTAGCTACATGGATAGTACACGTTTTCCAGCCATAACGAAGACTGAATGCTCTACAAAGGTAGAGCACACAAGCCTAACAAGTCACCGGATCGAGAAGAGTGCTTAGAACACTTCCCACATTTCCAAACCTCACCCGAAGTCCTGGTTACCCGATTTCTGGCTAATATTTACAAGACCATTGACGAGAACTGTCTGTTAGCCAAGTTAATGTGCAAAAAACATGAGCACATTTGTCATACGGAGGGAAAACTAGTTTCTGTTATTAATTCATGCTCCTGCACTCGGTATACTGATACTGATGATGGCCATTCATATTTGTGAATTAAGTTGCCACTCTGGAGCCGGGGAGGAGCTCCGGGTAATTGGTATTGACTTTGTTAAGACACGCCAACACGGGCCACGTTGCGTATACGTTATAAAACAAGAGCTCATCATAATTGGCGTTGAATCCACATCGCAGTCAGTCTCTGCCCCTCGAAACAATGCGATTTTCGTGTGAAATTCGACTCGCAGCACTTGCGGCTAAACGCGATGGCCAAAACGATGCTCTCGAATGGCCGCTAACATTAACCGGGCCCTGGCGAGCCTGTTGCCTGTTGCCTGTTTGGCGATTTTGTCTTGTCCACGATCGCTTCGGGCCCGAAAGCCCCGTAACCGAGATGTAAGCTTCGCGAAAAACCAAATATTCCCACACAATCAGCCCAAGACTATGGTCATATGGATTATATATGTATGTATGTCTCTTTCTGGCTCGTTACAGCCATCTCTTTGGACTTATCGGTGCCTTTTGGTGTGTGAGTGAACTTTTATGGGGCCCTGTGGAGCCCTGTAAGCGATATTGGCCCCATCGCGGCATTTTCGTTGTCACGTTGTTGGGTTTCCAAGTAATCAGAGTCAAGCCAATTTATGTTTCAGTTTCAGGCCAAGTGGGTTCTCATGATTAGGGAGCCACTTGCCAGCCAATTTCCATTTATATAAGCTAATCTCTACTTAAATAAATACTAATTATTGGCCCATTAATTATTTGATTGCAGGAAAAAATGCGATATGGATCGAGAGCGCGAAAGAGATGTCAAGGCCCTGGAGCCACGCGATTTGTCCTCCACGGGCCGCATTTATGCCAGAAGCGATATTAAAATCAGGTGAGTTTCGGGGTTAAATGTTTAAGAGGTTGAAGATTTATAGAGGTTCTTTTATAATATAAAATTATATAAAATATGGCTTTCTATTTCAAAATCACGAAAAAGGGGTAACTTCCGGTAGTTTTTATCCATTTTTCGCTATAGGGTCCCTTGAAAATGAGGTTTCCCCTATAGGGTCCACAGTGATAGCCATATCTTTCCCAATTCTCATCTGATTCTCAAGCGGAGTACCTTAAACGATTTCTAGATCGATTCTCCACCATTCTGCATCAAAATTTCAAGACAAAATATTTTTTCGATTTTTTGTCCATTTTTCGCTCCTTGAAAATGGGGTTTTCCTTTATAGGGTCCACAGTGATGGCCATATCTTTCCCAATTCTAATCCGATTCTCAAGCGGAGTACCTTAAACGATTTCTGGGTCGATTCTCCACCATTCTGCATCAAAATCCTGAGACGAAATATTTTTTCGATTTTTTGTCCATTTTTCGCTATGGGGTTCCTTGAAAATGAGGTTTTCCCCTATAGGGTCCACAGTGATAGCCATATCTTTCCCAATTCTTATCCGATTCTCAAGCGGAGTACCTTAAACAATTTCTAGATCGATTCTCAACCATTCTGCATCAAAATCCTGAGACGAAATATTTTTTAGATTTTTTGTCCATTTTTCGTGATGGGACCCTTTGAAAATGGGGTTTTCGCCTATAGGGTCCACAGTGATGGCCATATCCTTCCCATTTCTCATCCGATTCTCAAGCGGAGCACCTTTAACGATTTCTGGATCGATTCTCAACCATTCTGCATCAAAATCCTGAGACGAAATATTTTTTCGATTTTTTGTCCATTTTTCGCTATGGGGTCCCTTGAAAATGGGGTTTTCCCCTACGGGGTCCACAGTGATAGCCATATCTTTCCCAATTTTCATCCGATTCTCAAGCGGAGTACCTTAAACGATTTCTGGATCGATTCTCCACCATTCTGCATCAAAATTTCAAGACAAACTATTTTTTTCGATTTTTGTCCATTTTTCGCTATGGGGTCCCTTGAAAATGGGGTTTTCCCCTACAGGGTCCACAGTGATAGCCATATCTTTCCCAATGCTCATCCGATTCTCAAGCGGAGCACCTTTAACGATTTCTGGATCGATTCTCCACCATTCTGCATCAAAATCCTGAGACGAAATATTTTTTTCGATTTTTTGTCCATTTTTCGTGATGGGACCCTTTGAAATTGGGGGTTTCGCCTATAGGGTCCACAGTGATGGCCATATCTTTCCCAATTCTTATCCGATTCTCAAGCGGAGTACCTTAAACGATTTCTAGATCGATTCTCCACCATTCTGCATCAAAATCCTGAGACGAAATATTTTTTCGATTTTTTGTCCATTTTTCGTGATGGGACCCTTTGAAATTGGGGGTTTCGCCTATAGGGTCCACAGTGATGGCCATATCTTTCCCAATTCTTATCCGATTCTCAAGCGGAGTACCTTAAACGATTTCTAGATCGATTCTCCACCATTCTGCATCAAAATCCTGAGACGAAATATTTTTTCGATTTTTTGTCCATTTTTCGCTATGGGGTCCCTTGAAAATGAGGTTTTCCCCTATAGGGACCACAATGATAGCCATATCTTTCCCAATTTTCATCCGATTCTCAAGCGGAGTACCTTAAACGATTTCTAGATCGATTCTCCACCATCTGCATCCACCATCTGCATCAAAATCCTGAGACAAAATATTTTTTCGATTTTTTGTCCATTTTTCGTGATGGGGTCCCTTGAAAATGAGGTTTTCCCCTATAGGGTCCACAGTGATAGCCATATCTTTCCCAATTCTTATCCGATTCTTAAGCGGAGTACCTTAAACGATTTCTAGATCGATTCTCCACCATTCTGCATCAAAATCCTGAGACGAAATATTTTTTCGATTTTTTGTCCATTTTTCGCTATGGGGTCCCTTGAAAATGAGGTTTTCCCCTATAGGGACCACAGTGATAGCCATATCTTTCCCAATTCTTATCCGATTCTCAAGCGGAGTACCTTAAACGATTTCTAGATCGATTCTCCACCATTCTGCATCAAAATCCTGAGACGAAATATTTTTTCGATTTTTTGTCCATTTTTCGTGATGGGACCCTTTGAAATTGGGGGTTTCGCCTATAGGGTCCACAGTGATGGCCATATCTTTCCCAATTCTTATCCGATTCTCAAGCGGAGTACCTTAAACGATTTCTAGATCGATTCTCAACCATTCTGCATCAAAATCCTGAGACGAAATATTTTTTAGATTTTTTGTCCATTTTTCGTGATGGGACCCTTTGAAAATGGGGTTTTCGCCTATAGGGTCCACAGTGATGGCCATATCCTTCCCATTTCTCATCCGATTCTCAAGCGGAGCACCTTTAACGATTTCTGGATCGATTCTCAACCATTCTGCATCAAAATCCTGAGACGAAATATTTTTTCGATTTTTTGTCCATTTTTCGCTATGGGGTCCCTTGAAAATGGGGTTTTCCCCTACGGGGTCCACAGTGATAGCCATATCTTTCCCAATTTTCATCCGATTCTCAAGCGGAGTACCTTAAACGATTTCTGGATCGATTCTCCACCATTCTGCATCAAAATTTCAAGACAAACTATTTTTTCGATTTTTTGTCCATTTTTCGCTATGGGGTCCCTTGAAAATGGGGTTTTCCCCTACAGGGTCCACAGTGATAGCCATATCTTTCCCAATGCTCATCCGATTCTCAAGCGGAGCACCTTTAACGATTTCTGGATCGATTCTCCACCATTCTGCATCAAAATCCTGAGACGAAATATTTTTTCGATTTTTTGTCCATTTTTCGTGATGGGACCCTTTGAAATTGGGGGTTTCGCCTATAGGGTCCACAGTGATGGCCATATCTTTCCCAATTCTTATCCGATTCTCAAGCGGAGTACCTTAAACGATTTCTAGATCGATTCTCCACCATTCTGCATCAAAATCCTGAGACGAAATATTTTTTCGATTTTTTGTCCATTTTTCGTGATGGGACCCTTTGAAATTGGGGGTTTCGCCTATAGGGTCCACAGTGATGGCCATATCTTTCCCAATTCTTATCCGATTCTCAAGCGGAGTACCTTTAACGATTTCTGGATCGATTCTCAACCATTCTGCATCAAAATCCTGAGACGAAATATTTTTTCGATTTTTTGTCCATTTTTCGTGATGGGACCCTTTGAAATTGGGGGTTTCGCCTATAGGGTCCACAGTGATGGCCATATCTTTCCCAATTCTTATCCGATTCTCAAGCGGAGTACCTTAAACGATTTCTAGATCGATTCTCCACCATTCTGCATCAAAATCCTGAGACGAAATATTTTTTCGATTTTTTGTCCATTTTTCGCTATGGGGTCCCTTGAAAATGAGGTTTTCCCCTATAGGGACCACAGTGATAGCCATATCTTTCCCAATTTTCATCCGATTCTCAAGCGGAGTACCTTAAACGATTTCTAGATCGATTCTCCACCATCTGCATCCACCATCTGCATCAAAATCCTGAGACAAAATATTTTTTTCGATTTTTTGTCCATTTTTCGTGATGGGGTCCCTTGAAAATGAGGTTTTCCCCTATAGGGTCCACAGTGATAGCCATATCTTTCCCAATTCTTATCCGATTCTTAAGCGGAGTACCTTAAACGATTTCTAGATCGATTCTCCACCATTCTGCATCAAAATCCTGAGACGAAATATTTTTTCGATTTTTTGTCCATTTTTCGCTATGGGGTCCCTTGAAAATGAGGTTTTCCCCTATAGGGACCACAGTGATAGCCATATCTTTCCCAATTTTCATCCGATTCTCAAGCGGAGTACCTTAAACGATTTCTAGATCGATTCTCCACCATTCTGCATCAAAATCCTGAGACGAAATATTTTTTCGATTTTTTGTCCATTTTTCGCTATGGGGTCCCTTGAAAATGAGGTTTTCGCCTATAGGGTACGCAGTGATAGCCATATCTTTCCCAATTCTTATCCGATTCTCAAGCGGAGTACCTTTAACGATTTCTGGATCGATTCTCCACCATTCTGCATCAAAATCCTGAGACGAAATTTTTTTTCGATTTTTTGTCCATTTTTCGCTATGGGGTCCCTTGAAACTGAGGTTTTCCCCTATAGGGTCCACAGTGATTGCTATACCTTTCCCAATTCTCATCCGATTCTCAAGCGGAGTACCTTAAACGATTTCTAGATCGATTCTCCACCATTCTGCATCAAAATCCTGAGACGAAATATTTTTTCGATTTTTTGTCCATTTTTCGCTATGGGCTTCCCTTGAAAATGAGGTTTTCCCCTATAGGGACCACAATGATAGCCATATCTTTCCCAATTCTTATCCGATTCTTAAGCGGAGTACCTTAAACGATTTCTAGATCGATTCTCCACCATTCTGCATCAAAATCCTGAGACGAAATATTTTTTCGATTTTTTGTCCATTTTTCGCTATGGGGTCCCTTGAAAATGAGGTTTTCCCCTATAGGGACCACAGTGATAGCCATATCTTTCCCAATTTTCATCCGATTCTCAAGCGGAGTACCTTAAACGATTTCTAGATCGATTCTCCACCATTCTGCATCAAAATCCTGAGACGAAATATTTTTTCGATTTTTTGTCCATTTTTCGTGATGGGGTCCCTTGAAAATGAGGTTTTCCCCTATAGGGTCCACAGTGATAGCCATATCTTTCCCAATTCTCATCCGATTCTCAAGCGGAGTACCTTAAACGATTTCTAGATCGATTCTCCACCATTCTGCATCAAAATCCTTAGACGAAATATTTTTTCGATTTTTTGTCCATTTTTCGTGATGGGGTCCCTTGAAAATGAGGTTTTCGCCTATAGGGTACGCAGTGATAGCCATATCTTTCCCAATTCTTATCCGATTCTCAAGCGGAGTACCTTTAACGATTTCTGGATCGATTCTCCACCATTCTGCATCAAAATCCTTAGACGAAATTTTTTTTCGATTTTTTGTCCATTTTTCGCTATGGGGTCCCTTGAAACTGGGGTTTTCCCCTATAGGGTCCACAGTGATAGCCATATCTTTCCCAATTCTTATCCGATTCTCAAGAGGAGTACCTTGAATGATTTCTGGATCGATTCTCCACCATTCTGCATCAAAATCCTGAGACGAAATATTTTTTAGATTTTTTGTCCATTTTTCTTGATTGGACCCTTTGAAAATCGGGTTTTTCCAATATAGGATTTTCCTCTCGCGGAGATGTCGCCTTCACTGCGTTGCATACTTTTGACCAAAATTATAATTCCCTCTGCAACAGTCGTTTCTGAAAAATATTCTGATTTTATAAAAATGTTCATTATTAAAACTCTGGGGAATTATAAGCCACTTTGGAGTAGCTAGGACAGTTGTTAAAACAGAAGTAAATTCATCCCTTATATGACCATGGAAACCTAGTCCTTTCACTGTAACAATTATCCTGCGACTCCCTTTGTCCTGAAACTCATTGTGAATTCGTGAAATGTTCTCGCCCGCAGCGCTTCACCCACCGTCTCGCCAACGATCTCAAACTCCTCTTCGCCCACACCGACGCCGCCCGCCAGTTCCTCAGTGACGCCCCTGGGCCTGCCGGGGGCGGCGGCGGCTGCTGCTGCCGTTGCAGCCGCTGCTGCCGCCGGCGGAGCGGCATCGGCGGGGGCCAGTTCCTATTTGCATGGCAACCACAAGCCCATCACCGGCATTCCGTGCGTGGCAGCCGCCTCCCGGTACACCGCCCCCGTTCACATCGATGTGGGCGGCACCATCTACACCAGCTCCCTGGAGACGCTCACCAAGTATCCGGAGTCGAAGCTGGCCAAGCTCTTCAATGGCCAGATACCGATTGTGCTCGACTCCCTCAAGCAGCACTACTTCATCGATCGGGATGGAGGCATGTTCCGTCACATTCTGAACTTTATGAGAAACTCAAGACTTCTAATTGCCGAGGATTTTCCGGATCTGGAGCTGCTGTTGGAGGAGGCCCGCTACTACGAAGTGGAGCGTAAGTATTTAATAAATAAATAAAATAATAAATTGAATATAAAAGTCTTTTAAATAGAATCCAGGTTCTAAATAATGGATTCATATACGCTACTTAAACGTAAAGTTAAATGCCTAAAATAGCCTTTTAATTGCATGGTTGGCTTTTCTGGCAGATTACAGTAATTATTTTTCTCTGTGCACTGGTCCAACCGGTCATGGCCACTAGCCATGGCATTTATAGCCAACTAATTTGCGCTTCCTCCCATCTCACTCTCACTCAACGTCTACCATTTCCATTCTCGTTCTCGGTCTCCGCCCGCAGCGATGATTAAGCAGCTGGAGAGCATGCGCAAGGATCGCGTACGCAACGGCAACTATTTGGTGGCGCCACCCACTCCACCGGCGCGCCACATCAAGACGAGCCCGCGGACGAGCGCGTCGCCGGAGTGCAATTACGAGGTGGTGGCGCTGCACATCTCGCCGGACCTGGGCGAACGCATAATGCTATCGGCGGAACGGGCGCTCCTCGACGAGCTCTTCCCGGAGGCCAGCCAGGCGACACAGTCGAGTCGAAGCGGCGTGTCCTGGAACCAGGGCGACTGGGGGCAAATCATCCGCTTTCCCCTCAACGGCTACTGCAAGCTGAACTCTGTCCAGGTGCTAACGCGACTCCTCAACGCCGGCTTTACCATCGAGGCCAGTGTCGGGGGCCAGCAGTTCTCCGAGTATCTGCTGGCGCGGCGCGTTCCCATGTGATAGGCTCAGGCTCTAGCTCCAGCTCCATCTCCAGCTTCGGTCCGCCTGGAAGCATCATCTCCATCACCATCAACAGCTTCTGCTCCGGAAACAGCAACTTCACGTTCCGTATCCTATTCTGGTGCTGGCCCAGGCCCTATTCGTCGAGGGCGTCTCATCCAAGTGCGATCCAAGCGCTAACTGGCCTAAATAAATTGCCAAAAAACCATTACAAATAAGGGGATTTTATCAATCTAAAGGATTTTCTATAATTTGTATTTGAAACTTCAGTTTTTAGTCTAAACTATAAGCTTTTATAGTGTATCATATTAAATTGGTTTAAAGTCCTTAAATCTAAATTAAAATGTTTCTGTCGTTGCCAAAATGAAAACCTTTTTTTGAAGTTTTGATTGTTAAACTGGTTCAGAATATCTGTATAGCTTAAAAATAAGTAGTATGTTTCAATTTTAAGAAAACTTAAGCGGAAACCGCAAACTTTTATTCTCAATATTTTGAAACCGAACGATTAATAGATACTTTCCCCAAGAAACTTGTAACGGCTTGGAAAAATAATGAGCCCATTTAAAATTATAGAGATCTTGACACTTTGCTGCTCTGAGTAGATGTCTTCATGGCCCGGAGACCTGTTCACAGCGGATGCAAGTTCTGAATCTGAATCCAAATGTTATTTAATGTTTACCAATTAAGTTTGCTGGCACAAAAACACTCGACTTGTGCGTATTCTCTTTAGCATTTAGTGAACCAAGAGCCCAGCACTGATTTTGTTTATTAACCTTGCGTTTAAGTCGTATATTGTTTTCTCTAAGTATACCACCTACTGCAAATTACCTTGAGGTGTTACATTAAATCAAATTGGCCACGAATCGTCGGTGGCATAAATTACAGAACATACACAACCAACACACCAAACACACAATCACAAAACACTGAAAACCTATGCTAAAGTAATATAAACTCTAAAAAAAACAATGTAACTCACAGCGAAAATAGTTTTGTAGTACATAATTGATGTAATTGAACTTTTATGAATGTAAACTATGGGATAACTTTTTCAATATATACGAACCGACATCTAAATAGTCTACACCAATTCAAATACGAATCCAATTACATGCAAATATAGATATATTCAACAAAATACAGTTTGCGACCACGCCCTCTATAGAACAACCATTCGAATTGTCTCAATTGAATATTTAAATAAAGCAAAAAGTACGTGTATGTGGTCTACCTTTCTCTTGGGAGTGTTAAGTTTTAAATTTTCAATGTGGCCATTTCTGAACGGCGCCAAAAAATACCAGCTTTTATTAGATATGGCACTATCGAAAAGCTTACTATCGAAAAGCTTTGTTTAAAAAGCTTTCAGCTTCAAAACTTCAATTCGCCCATACCAATTTTTATTCGCTCTTCTTGCCCCTTGAAGAACAGATTTAGAAATCTCAACAGAATCAGCCTATCTACTACATTAGATTATTCGAGATATATGTATACTCTTTATCATTTAAATTTGTATTAGAAAAAACTTCTTAAGAAGTCAGAATATCTATCTAAAAGACTCCCAGCCAAACCAGTTTTGCTTAATTGTTTTCCAATAATAACAACCATTTTATGTTTATTAAAAAATATTTTTATTTTATATATATATTCGTGTATATGTAAATAGCCTAATTTAAATTAAATTACAATATTTTTGTTTATGCATAACCGCACTTGGCAAATAAGTAGACATGTATGTTGTATATTCGAGTTACATATATGTTTTTTGTGTGGATTACTTATATATCTTTGATCAGTAACATATCGCCTAGACTTTCACTTACACGCTAGTGTGCCAACAAATTATTCGAAATCTTTAGGAGAATTGCATCGATGGATGCATGGCACGCTCGGGATTTGATTTCCGGTTAGTCAAAGTTTTGATATCGAATGGGATTTTTAAACTAGGCCTAAAATTGCATAAGATCGGTATCTGGCTATTTCTACTATTTTGTATTTATCTGGTCGAGACGTTCGATTTGTTCATCGTGTTTGAAAAATAAGTCCTTATGTCGATTCCTATAAATATATCACAGTTGGAAACTAGTCACTACTTCTAAAACTAAACTACAAATAGAGAAGGTTATTTTTATGCAGCTGAATGAACTAGAAATATGTAGGTTTAGCTTAGTGTGCGCCCTCCGGTCGGGCCGATCCTGGCTGAGGGGATCTTGGCAGGCTCCTGGACCGGCAACGTCTAAGAAATGCACTATCGGTGTTTTGTTCTCGTAATTACATGGAATCTACAGGCGCAGGATGCGCAAGTGCGATCCTGCTGACTACTACTCATCATATAGAGGCTAGGACAGAGAAGTATACACTTAGTAGCGGAGTAGAAAGACTGGCTAAGTACACTAGAGAGTAATATCGGATAGTAATATACAATTCTACGGACGAGGTCTGGGGGCTCCCATCTCTAAGACTGGAGTACACCCATCCACTCGATCCGCATGGCTTCCAAAGGCACTTGGCTGTTGTGTGGCAAGATCCCGCTGAAGTTCGAGCTGCAGGCCGGGTGGTGGCTACACCCTCGTCTCCGTGTTCCGGTTCCGGTGCAGAGGCTGCAGCTCCCTCTGGGTATCGTTGTAGTACTCATGGTCGGAGCTCGTCGGTTCGCTGCCTGGCATTGGCACCTTGACCTCCAGTGTCCCGGGCACTCCCATCACCGGAATGCCAATGGTCTGTGTGGGTATGGGCGCCTCCATGCTGGTCCCCAGAGTCTGTGCATTCAGCAGATACTCCGGATTGTCCACGCTCACGGGCACTCCGATGAGATCCATGTAGCCGGCGGTGGCACCCGCAGCGGCCATGTTATTGTTGGGATTGTTTGTGTTATTGTTGTTGTTGGGTCCAGCTCCCTGACCCGTGGGCATCAGGTAATCATCCTCGTCGACCGGCAGATCCAGGCGAAGATTTCCCACTCCCACTTCCCGGCCGCTGGAGTCGGTCTGGTCGTCGCCTCCGCTCGAGTTCTTGTTGCTGGGATCTTTGCAGTAGCGATTCAGCTTGGGTATCTCGTCCGTGCCGTCTGTGCGATGACTGGGACCGGGCATGGCTTTGGGCTGGAGGTAGTCATCGGCCTCGATCATGGCCTCGGAGCCATCTGTCATGGGCGCCAGCCGCCGAATGAGATCCTTTTCGTCCTGACTCGTGTATGCCGGCAGGCGGGTGAACTTGTCGCCGGGTATCGCCAGGTAGCGACCCGGATCGCGAGCAAACTCCGCAAAAACTGTGGTCAGCTGCTTGAAGGTGGGTCGCATGGCGGCGTCCAAGTGCCAGCAGGAAAGCAGGGTGCAGTAGATGTCCAGCGAGCACATCTCTGGCTGCTCTAGCTTCAGGCCAACTTCAATGAGGTCGGGGATGTCCTTAGCGGGTATGTTCTCATGCGGTCTCTGGCCGAAGGTCAGAAGTTCCCAAATAGTAACTCCAAAGGCCCACACATCCGACTTGCTGGTGAAGACCCGATTGCGGATACATTCCAGGGCCAGCCATTTGATGGGCATCTTGCCTCCGGCCGCCTTGTACTCGTTGGAATCGCTGCTCAGTAACTTGGCCAGACCAAAGTCAGTAATCTTGACCAGCGAGGGGGTCTGGACAAGGACGTTGCGGGCGGCCAAGTCACGGTGAACCAGTCGCTTCTCCTCCAGGTAGGACATGCCCTTGGCAATCTGTGTGGACCAGTTCAGCAAGGCCTTGGATCCGATCTTGTCCCGATTGTTCCGGACGTAGTCTAGCAGGCAGCCGAGGGGCATCAGTTGGGTGATCAGCATCATTTGCGAGGACATGCACACAGCCAGGAGCTTGAGAAGATTTCCATGCTCCACAGAGGCCATGATGTATGCCTCCCGGAGGAACTCCTCGCTGGATTCGGCACCCGTGGACTTGAGCAGCTCCTTGATGGCCACCGGGATCTTGACGTTTTCACCTTCCGGCACCCAGACACCTTTGTACACACGGCCGAAGGCTCCCATTCCGAGAACGCCTCCTTTCCGCAACTCGGCATCCTTGACAATCCTTAGCTTGCAGAGATTCGCGCCAATATTAGAGGGTCGTAGAGGCTCGGAATCCTCGCAGCCAGACAGGGCCATGGTCATCTTCACAGTCTCCTTCTTGGCCTTTTGCTTTTGGCGGCAGATGTAGGTCACGACGCACAGAATGCAGATGGTGGGCGTGAGGACGGCTCCAGTGATGATGAAGATCATGTTGACATCCAGACCGGCGGTCATCTTGCTGCTTCGCGGGGGACTGGAGACGCAGTAGGGTCCGATGGACAGAGACTGGTAGTTGACGTGACGGAATTCCGGGGGGCACTTCGAGGTGCAGTTGAACATGGTGGAGTTCTCGTGGGGACCGGTCTCGTTGGAATCGAATAGCTTGAAGTTGCGGCATGCTATGCAGTCCTCCACACCCGGACCTGTGCAGCCCTTGCACTCGGGATGGCATTCGAAGCACTCCCGTCGATCCTCGTCCGTGTAGTGATCCACCGGGCACTCGTCCTCGCACTGCTCTCGCCGCTTGTAACCGGTGCACTTGGAGCAGACCTTTTCGTGGAAGCCATAGTTGGTGCAGAGCTCGCACCGGGGATGGCACTTTCGGCAAACGGCCTTTCCGGCCAGGGGTTTCAGCGTGCCCTGCTCCTGCGGATGCACGTACTCCCAGTAGTAGCCGTCCGGACACTTGTCATCCTTCAGCAGGCAACGTTCCACAGTGGCATCGTTGTTGATGATCGCCAGGTTGCAGCTTGTACATCCGCCCTGACCGATGGTGTCCTTGGGCCCAGTGCAGCCCTCGCAGGTGGCGTGACACTTGCGGCAGATCCCATTGTCGCTGTACTTGTTTTCGGGACACTCGGAAACGCAGTGTTGTTCGTCTCTCACATGGACACATTCGTCACAAGCCTCCGCGCCAGGACCGGAGCAAGTCTTACACTCCTCGTGGCACATTAGGCACGTCTTCCCGTCGTGTTGGTAAGCACTGGGTGGAAAAAGGATAATGGTTAGAGTTTGACCTTCGTCATGGTCGAAAAGTAGTACTTACTTGGATATATTACGGCAATCGGCTATACAGGTGCCACTGTAGTTAAAGTTCTTGCAGTTCAGACACTGATCTGGACCGGCTCCCCAACAACCATCCTCGTTGCACTGATCCGAGCAAACGGTTCCATTTCTCTCTACAAGGTGGAAGGTGTGACAATTGATTAGAAT